TCTCCGCCCCTTCTCCGCCGCCCGCCCCGGCGGCGGCACCGGCGTGAGGCGGCCCCTCCTCCCGGCCCGCCCCGCTCCGAGAGCCGCGGGTCGGGCGGCGGCGGATGCGGGGGTCGCTACTGACGGGATTTCTTTGTGCGCCGGGGAGACGGGGGTTCCGCGGCGGCTCCCCTGGCCGGCTGGAAGGCGCCTCAGCGGGGCAGAGCCCCAGCGCCGCCGCCCCAGCTTGAGCCCCCGGGCCCCGCGGGGCCGGGCTGAGGAGAGGCGCGGAGCTGGTCCGGGCCTCGCGGGTCTGGCGTGTGCACCTGCGGGGACGGCGGGCAGGGGCTCGAGAGACCCTGCAACAGATTTAGGTTTGGAAAGTTTTTCCAGAGAACGTCTAATTTTCCCCATTCACCGAGCGGGCGAGGGTTTCCTGTAGGGTTTCCATGTTGGTGGAGCTGGCAGAAAAACTCAGGCACACCCAGGTGCCGCTTATTCTTGGCGTGGGCAGGCACTGCTTGCCTGTTCCACAAGGTTTTTGCCGGTGAGAAACCTTCCTGGGTCCAGTCCTGCTGTGGTCGAGTTGCAAATCTGCGCCAAGAGCTGAGGAACACCCCGTGTCTGCTTTTGGGATCTTTGAAATACAAAAAATGCATGGGGTTTACACTTTCTTCATTTTAAAGTAAGGGTTATTTCTTTCACAAAGATAGCTTGAAAACTTAAACCAATACAGACATACAAATTGTTGCTAAGGGTAAGACAAATCAGATGTTCCCTTTAGAAAATAAGCCATCTCCAAGTGCATGGCTAGAGAAGGCCGATGGTCGCTTGTAGCAGAAATAACAAATTTGCTTGGGGTGGAGTCATTCTGGCATTCTCCACTATGGCAGTTTTCTGGACCAACACAAAGGCTTTCAAGTGAGAGTCCTGTCTCTTCCCCAGTGACTGTTCTTAAGGTGCAGGTTACAGCTGGGATTGTCTGCTCTGCAAGGATAACACACAGACCTTTGGAAATCTTGGGTTCTACTTTGTGGTCACAGCAATATCAAGGCACAGAATTTCAGGAGTCAATAGCCACTTGCCTCTGATTTGCTGGGGGAGTGTTAGCACAGAAGCTGATCCATGTGCTCAGACAGTTTCGCTGGCTGGATCCTATGAAACTCCAGAGGCAACTAACTCTGGAATGTCAGGGTGGGTGATAAGTGGGCATTGGCTTTGGTCCCTTTTGTTTGGTTCCTCTAACTCACTGGGTCTGTGTGTAAACTGGACTTCTGCAAGGTTTCTTCCTGAGATTATGAGCACACTGCCCTAACATTGCAGCCTTAGCTTCTTGAACTTGAAAGCAGAAGTTTCTCTGTAATTACATCACCACACTTTCATTTTAGGATCAGCAAAAGTGTCCAGCTGGCTCAAGGCAAGTCTGCCTAGTGCCGTACCCTGTTCCTGGCAGGAGCCAGCACCATGCCACAGGGGTTGATGAAGACAGAAAGAATCCTGCAGCAGTCAGAAGGAACATCTCCTGTGCTGGCTTCTTGATCTTTGAAAGTCTGATATTGGTGTAAGTCTGGGAGCACGAAGTTTAGCATCTCTTTCACAGAATGCACCAGAAAGTGGCTATTCCAAAGCAGGAAAGGTAAGGGAAGCTTCTCTCTGTTACTATTTTTTTTAAAAAGTTTAAAAAAGGCAAGCACACATTTTTCTCCTGTAGCTCCTTCCTTTATCTTAAATGTGGAAAGCACAAAAATTCTGTGGCCTTCTCTTTGTAAGAAGCAGGATGACATTTGCAGCTTGGATGTTTTTGATGTTTTATTTTAATGCCCTGAAGTGCTGTTGTGTTCCCCTCAGCTGGCACAGACTAAAGCAATGTCTGGGCTACCTGAACATGCAGGAGAGGGACAGAGGGACGTCTGCTATTGCCCTGGCTGACTTCCATGCCCCCAGTTTGAAATCCACTTACATAGCTCTTCTCATATTTGAGGGGATGCCTCAAAAGACATCCATGTGTAGGAATGCAGGACAGACCTGCTACAAATAAGGATTAGCACAGGTGAGGGAGTGCAGCAGCAGCAAGAGGCAAGAGGGACCTAGGAGAGGGGCTGGCAACACAGAGAGCATGAAGGGTGCCCTTGACTGCCAGGAGAAGTGAAAAATTGTCCTGGCATGTGTTCACCTCTGTGTTCACTTAAGTAGATTAAATCAGAGTCCTGTTCTTGCTGGGTGCCAGGGGTGCAGCAGTCTGTCAAGATGACAGTGACAACTGCCTGGTGGTTTTGCATGTCCAGTGCAAGCCCTAGTCCCACCAAAGAGCAGAGCAGCCCGAGTCCTGCTCTGACCTGTGCCAGCTGACTGTGCTGCAGGAGCAGCTCGGGAGTGGCTGGGGCCCCCCAGAGGCAGCAGGGAAGCGTCAGACAGCCTGGAAACTCCCTTTAGGCTGAAACTCTGTAGCCTGTACTCAGGTCCTTTATACCTCTTGAATAGCAGAAAAGCATGAATGCCCATGATGAAAATAGGTTCATTATGTTGTACTCATGAGCATTGTTAATATCCCCAAGAATGGTCTCTTCTAGCTGCTTGGAAGTATACATCGTCATTTTCATGGAAATCATCAGTTTTTAGGAAACATGTCATAAATCATTGCTATATATTGGATTATGATTGGAACATTAGAAATACCACTTTTCCTTTTAAATTTACGTGCTCTTAAATGTGAAGCCAGTGGGCATTGAGCAAATCAGATATATAAATTGAAACTGGACAAAATAAACTTTCTGTGCTCATGTGTAATAGCAATGATAATTGAAAATAAAGATAAATATAAAAGTATACATGTGTTTGAATGTATCACAAACATACAGAGATGTTTCCTTTCACTTTTTAGCAAGTCTGTGTAAAACATGTCATATTTCATTGTTTCAGAGATAAACATTTGGTGAGAATTTCAGTTCTTTGAGTTTATAGACACCACTAGGGAATTCTTCATTTCTGACAATATTATTTTACATAACTGCTTTTGCTTATTCACAAAAAGGAATTATCCTCCCATTGAAACCATCGGACTTCTGCTAGCCAGCTTCAAAGAAAATAGGATTAGGCTCTAATTTGCAAAACAGTATTGAACGATATGTTGTACCAAATCTAAAGGATACAGATTATCACAATAACAACAAAAAGCCATTGATTTCAGTAGGCCTACATTCCTGAAGTCAGTGTGGGCTGGAAAATGATCTTAAAAGATTGCAACATGCAAGCAGTAAAAAATTATTATAAAATTCAGTGCATTTTTAGGATTAATTTTGCCATGAACTTTCAAAACAGCACAACTTATTTTCTATCTGGCATAGAGACACTCAGGATTAAAAAGACCACTGGCTTAATAGGACTCAGTCAAATAGTTAGGACGCCTCAAAAAATTGACAGCTTCTATAATGAAACATGAGTTTCATAGAGCTGATGTTAATTCATTACATGTATTAAGCTGAATAAAAACAAAACAAAACAGGATTTCAGAGATACTTGCTAAAATACTTAATTTACCAGCCAAGGCCGGGTAATCTCTGCAAGGATTATGCATATGGCAATTTAACTTGGTGAGATGGTATCATCTGTACTCGGACCTTTTGCTCGTCAGCATTCTCCAGTGTTTGTGAATTGTTTAGCATGTTGTTACCACCCTTACAGAGATCAGCTTCTGTTGAAGAGCTGGAATGTGTTCCTTGACTGCTCCATACAGTGTAAGATAGAGGAAAGAGGAGAACTCTGCACTAAAGGGATTCCTAAATGCAATAGACTGTGTTCTTGGATACCAATATGCTGCTCCCTTAGGTTTCAGTCCTCTCTGAGCTCTATAATCTGTACATGGAGAAAAACATAACCACAGTTAAGTCAGTTGAGTTGCTTTGACTGCTCATGTTTGATGATCAAGCTAAGTATGGGTGTATGCATTTGCTGGACCAAGCTTTAGTGTTCAGCACTGTCCAGACTGCAGAACTAAAGATGACATGACTTTCAAATCATTGGAAGATACTGGCAGGTGAAACTGGAGGACATTCTCTCAATGGAACTGTCTCTTCTGTGTTAAGTACCTGCTGAGAGACAGCTTTTTGATCTGATGAAGTGAAAGCATGTTAATATGTTCCACTCAAAGATAGGGATTATCCCTTAGAAAGCAGTGCTGGTAGAGACAGCTGGCATCCATCTGGTTGCTGTGGCAGGTATCTGTATATTATCTACCCTGGCAGATCACATCCAATCCTTGTAATTGCATGCTTTATGAAAATTGCAGGAGTTAAGAAAATTCAGGATTAAGACTGTAATGCTGATTTTCTCTGTAGTGAGCCTATAAAAAAAACTTTGCCTTGACAAGTAGTGGTCTTTTGAGGTGTGTCTTGTTTGCATCCAGACATGTCAGTTCACTATTAAAACAATACTTCAGTCAAGTAATGATCACTGTCAGGGCCTACATTCAGAAGTTAGAACATCCATCTAAATTCATGTGTCTCCTCTTGTTCTTTGGTGCTAGGACTCTTGAGATGTCCATACAGTAGGAAGAATAAAGACTTAAGTGAAATTAAGCCCTCCAAATCTGCATCCCAGGCCTATTATAGAGCTTTATGAGCAGTGAAGAAACTGATGAATACTTGTAGTATCTTTTTGGAGAGGATTCTGGAATTGAGACTGGGGTTCTTCATAATACTATAAGACTTTGAATAAGAGAGGAGCTGTATGTCCATAAAATACCCTTTAAAATTCTGTTTCCAGGCCTCAAGCTTTTGCTTCTGTGGCTTTCTCTGAGAATTTAGACAATTAATGTGTTATAATTTTTACCTGTAATACTAATTCTGCTGCTGCTTGATATGTTTTATTGGGA